ACCACAAAGCCAATTCAAATCCACGTTCTATTTCAAAACGAGGGCATCGAAAAAGATGAAAGGTATAACAAAATAGTAGGCAAATGCGGAAGGGGAGGTGCAGGTAAGTGGTGTCGGTCAACAAAATAATCACATGATCTAAAGTGTTCACTTTTTATTCGCTAGGTCAAGGCATAGGTTCGAATTCTGTTGCCGGCAATACCTAAATAAGTGGTATTTTATTATAATGGTGGAAATGTGTTGAGCTCTTATATGACGGCATGAGTTTGAACTCTATCTGTGACTAATCTAACATCTAATCTAACAAAATCTATCGTTTGACCAAAAGAAAAAAAAAATGTTCACTTTTTAGATCATCAATCATGAATCGTTGTAAAAATTCAATCAAATCGAAAGTCGTTTAGCTCTTTAATTATTATTGTAATAATTAATTTATTTATTGAAAAATGTGTGTTATTCTATTTAAGACACTTAAATAATTAACTAGCTTCCAACTTTATAATTTTTTGTATGATTAAGCTTTAAATCATAATCCAAAAAGTGATCTGTTCAGATTATGAAAAATTTTGTAAGGCAAACCTAAATAAATGATTAGTGCTGTTTTAAGTTATTAACTAATTAGTACCTGAAATTAACTGAGTTTATCCATATCTTGAATTTGGTACATGTGAAACGGCAACCAAACCCAATTCGGCTAAAAGGTTTCTGAGAAAATCCAAATTCGAAAGAGACTTGTAAGAACTAGAAACTAATACATAACATAAATTAATGGACAGGTGCAAAGTAAAATAATTAATTAGAAGAATTATTATTGGAGGTTTTCTGAGAAATTCCAAATTCGAAATAGCCTTGTAGAATATTAGAAAGTAAGAGACAAACAAATAATAAAATAAGGTAATTAACAGAATCAAATGGACAGAGTGATCAGAAGGGAGCATGTTAGTTTATTTATGTTTGCTTCTTGTTAATTCTGCATTATTTTCAGTAAAACTACATAATTACTTATAATTGCGATGATGGAGGAGACAAAACGCACATGGCGTCTGGGATTCTGCAACCTAAACATCTTCTTAAAGCAAACAATACTATTAGGTGCGCAGTCAATTTCTACAAAAATATGGGTATTACTATGAGGCCGCAAGAAAATATAATATGTTCGATGACAGACACCCAGTTTATGGCTAATTAAATTATTCTATCTAACTCTTAATTTTGTAATATATTTCTCTTTTTAGTACTAAAGGGTATCCTAACTTTGAATATCCGAGTCTCCGACCCCTTCCCTATCAATAAAATAATTGACTAAACGCCAACACAACAGTTAAATTCGAAGGTTAACTGCCTAATTTCTCTAATGACACCGTTAACTCCACCTATATTTTGGAAGATCCTATGAACTCTCTCTCTCTCTCTCTCAAATTCTTGGTGAATATTGTAATACAATCAACATCGATCTAAATTTGGAAGTTGGCATAAAATCCATAGGGGGTTGTTAGCAGTAGCAATTGCCACACAACATAAAAAAGAATAATGTCAGGGAGACCAAATTTAGAGACTAAATTTGCAAACTAAATGATGTGTCACCAATAAGAATAAGCACGTTTATCAATGTGTAAATAATAAACCAATCATCAACTTCATTCTTTTAGTTTTCAAAATTTTGTCTACAAATTTAAGTTCTCTAATATTACTCCAGAAAAAATAACCACATTTGGTACGTAACGCCTGCTGATTGGCCCTAAGCAGCTACCAGCATGCAGTGGAATCTTGACAATGCCAAGGACCAAAAGCTTTGTTTGCGCCATACCATTCATGCCCTAAGTCAAACAGTTGATGCCTTCCTCTGATACTTCCAAAAAGCTTAAAGCCTAAATCCTACTCATGTCACACGTGACGACGATCACGTGGACATCTTCCACTACAAAACTCTTTGTGACTTTTACTCTAAGTTATCCGATTATAACTAAGCAAATCAACAAATTAACTGTGATAGATCAGTATTAATACAGTTTCTTATTTGCTGAAAATTAAGCTTAATTAGCTATACATACATACATACATATATATATATATATATATATATATATTTGAGCACACCCAAATGTTGAAGCTTTCAGTATCCCCAAAATACTTCTTTCTAATTAAGATTCTAATATAAAATCATTTAATTTAAAAAAAATCCAAACTAAACTAAATAAAAATTATAAATAAATAATAAAATGAAAAATAGCAAATTGTCAGACACGTGAGCAAGTTAATCGTAATCGTATTACTTGTTATCATAACAATGAATTTGTTTGTCATGTGTTATGGATAACTAAACAATGTTCAAATTAAATGAAATTATCTATAGAAAGAATAAACAATCCTAAGTATAACGTTTGTGCAATATAATAATATCACATCGTCATGTATATAGAAACGACCTGTTACACATAAAATAAAGGATTATCATTTTGTGTCACCTCTAACATAAGCGCAAAGGAAATTGACTTTTGAGTCTCTGACTGTAGTTATGGACCTTATTGCCTCCAATCTGCCTTATCTCTACTAATTAAAAAAACACTCATTGTCAACCAAAACTCTATGAAATTAACCCTCTAATTAAAATAGAACATGAATAAGAAATATGGGGCAAAAATGTAATTTCACATAACCAAGTTTTGCTGTTTTTATTTTCAAAGCCTCACTTAAATGTAATCCTAACATATCTCTAATTAAAAAATAAATAAATAAAAAATCTTCCCACTCCCACATTCTCTATCACCCTCGTCCTCTCTCCTTCTATTTCAAAAACAAAATAAAAAAATTTCTTACACACTTTGTGTGTGCTCATATGCTAGCACGTATTACGTATACCTTTTGAGAATATCCTTGTATCATTGTAAATTTCATTATTGCCATTTTTATAGGGATCGTGTCCAAATTGTCTTTCTTTTTCTTTTACTAGTTTCGTAATATGATGGGAAAGTTAGTTTCATATATAAGTTTTCAATTTTTTTTACAAAGAATATTTATATATATAAGAAACAATTTTTATACAAGAAAGGGAAATTATATTAAAAGGAACATGAGTTATAAAATATAAAATATGGTAGATACACAGCTGGTAATAAAACTTGACCTATGAAGAAGTTGAATTATTGGGCATTTAAATACTAATTTAAAACAAAAATATTATAATTGGGTAATGTGCATTAATATTCCAAGTCCAAAAGTAAAAAGGTAACCTAATTTTATACAATAGGGAGTATGAATGATAGTGCCGTCACCTTAGAAAAATGGAAATGTCATGAAAATGTGGAGAATTTTTTTTTTATTATCATTAGAATACAGATGATATTTTATGGGTCATATGTGAAGAAATTTTTTACTTTTAAGTTGTTAAATTTTTAATACAAATATCACACTATCTGTATAATGACACATAGTATGTCACTCGTATTTCAAATACCTAAAAATTTCTTGTGAATGTGATTCGTGAATAATATATAAAATAGACAAGGGCGCACCCATGCTCGCGCACGCATATATATATATGTATATATGTATGATACTGTAATAATTGACAGATCAAGGGCTAAGGGGATATATTTGTGGCAATTTGTAATAATTGACAGATCAAGGGCTAAGGGGATAAATATGTGGCAATTAAAAAGATTTCAAATTGGGAGCCCATCAACATCTTCAGCCTCGGACGTCTCGTTTAGGTTAGCTTCACATTATTCTCACAACACAAGGTCAAGCTCTTGTCCTAATGCCATGAGATTTGTTTTGCTAGTGCCATGAGATATGTTTCCCTACATTTTATTCAACTTTGTACGTATATGTGTGCAAACCATGCGTATAAATATACGATCAATGTATATGAGCATATAGTAAAGGGTTTTTATCACAAATGGTTCCTGAGATTGATCAAACTTATCATTTTGGTACCTCACTTTCAAAATCAATCAATGTCGTCACTGACATTCACTACCGCACATTAATTTGGTCATTCCGTTAAGATTCTGTCAACTATTATGTTCAGTTTGTATGTGCGACCCACAAATCCAATCAAATGGTGACACGTGGATTATACAAAATAAGGGTTTTTATCGCAAATGGTCCCTAACATTGATCCAACTCCTCATTTTGGTCTCTGAGTTTCAAAAATCAATAAATTTGGTCCTTGACTTTCAATACCACACATCAATTTAATCATTCCTTTAAAGTTTCATCAATATTTTTTGTCCCACTAATCCAATCATATGGCACCACATGGATTAACTATAAGAAACTTATTATTATTATTTTTTTTTTAAGATTTAAAACTAAAAGTAAAATAAGAAACTAAAAACCAAAACTAAAAGAAAAAAAAAGTTATCGTCGTGTTCATCATGGTATTCTCTAGTTGGTTATAATCCTAAATCCTATCAAATTTGAATTGAATTTGGACTTTTTGATTTTATCAAATTTCGATCGAATTTTTTTTCCAATTAGGGTTGTGGGATGCGAGAAAAATGTCTGCGTGAATACTCTTCTTTTGGTTCACTCTTAAAAAAATAGTTTCTTATAGTTAATCCACGTTGAGCCACATAATTGGATTAGTGGGACCACATTAACAGAGAGAATAAATTGATGTGCGGTAGTGAAAATCAGGGACCAAATTTATCTTCCTTTACCAATGTGAGGAATAGCAGGCAATCAATCCTGATTGTTTGAATTCAAATAAATGCTATAAGTTGATGGAATAGCATGCAAACTAACAGAATAGTTGATGGAATCTTAACGGAATGACCAAATTGATGTGAGGTTGTGAATGTCAGGGACAACATTGATTGATTTTGAATGTAAGAGACTAAAATGATGAGTTTAGTCAATCTCAAGGACCATTAGTGATAAAAACCCTATAGTAAATGAGTTGTGGCCTCTTCCTCAGTTAATTTTCCTTTAAATATCACCATCCATCCTCACATATAGGAGAACACCTCCCCATACTTGGCACCCCCAGATTTCTAACTCTCTCGCAAACACCTAGCTAGCTAGCTTGCTTTTGCTCTCAAAGAGGAAGACCTACCTGCAGTTCTCTCTCTCTCTCTCTCTAGAAATTAATTTGAGCGTGTGAGAAGTGGCTACCTAGGTTTAGTAGAAATGCCTGATGAAGAGGTAGTGGTGGAAAATCCTACAGATGAGGGAAGCGAAGATCATCAGGAAGTTTCAGATCATCATGAGCATCATAAGGATCAACTCAAAGGGAAGAAACTTTCATGGCAAAAGCTGCGAAGAAACGACTCCTTGGACCTCGAGTCACGCCGTTTCACAGCTCCCCATGGCCATGCCTCCAAGGTCCATCGATCTCCATTTTTCTTATGTTCTTTAATAGTATAGTACTATTTCAATTAGATTTTATTGATATATACATATTTGGTGTATTAAATATTTTTTTTAAAGTCATTTGATACAGCGGCATCTAATCTCGATCCATTTCATTTGAAGAGGTTTCGAATTTAATTCTCAAGTTGTTTTCAACAAAAAAAAAAAAAAAAAAAAAAAAAAAAAAAAAAAAAAAAAGACCAACAGTTGCTGAATTTTTTTTTTTAACAGTAGTTGTTGAATAGTTAAGATAGAAGACAAAATAGCTTTTTTTTACAATAGAATAGTTTTCTAAGAGAAAAAGAAAACATGATTTTATTGCGAATTAGATAGAGACCTCAATTATAGATTACAAGATAGAGGATAAAGTGGAAGAGTGCTTTAAGTGTGTTGTGCGATTTCATATGCCACTAAAGTTCAAGGAAAAAATTTATAGGACAACAATAAGCCCAACAATGCTTTATGGCACAGAATGTTGGGCGATCAAAAATCAACATGTGCAAAAAATGAGTGTAAGCAGAGATGAGAATGCTTGTTGGAGGTGTGTGCACACAAGAAAAGATAAGATTAAGAACAAGGATATTTGAGGTAAATTAAGAGTGGTCGCAATTGAAAATAATATGAGAGAAAATTGGTGAAAGTGGTTTTGACACGTGAACTGAAGACCTATAAATGCTCCGACTAGAAGATGTGACTATGAGACGGAAGTTTAGGGCAAAAAGGGTAGTTGAAGGGACATAAAGATTTTGAAAGAGACTTTAAGAAAAGATATGAAATACTTGAAACTGATGGAAGACCTGATGTAAAACTGAGCACATCGATGTTATAGAATTTATAGAGCCAATCCACTTAATAAGATAAAGTTTGATTGTTGTTGTTGTTGAACTTATTCTAAATTTATTTTCTATTGGAGCTTTTTTAGGGTGCGGACTGGTCGGTGATAATGCACTTGGCATTTCAGAGCATTGGCATAGTTTATGGGGACATAGGTACATCACCTCTCTATGTGTATGCGAGCACCTTCACCAAAGGCATCAACCATAGCGATGACATTTTGGGTGTTCTTTCTTTGATCTTTTACACACTCACCTTAATCCCTCTGATTAAGTACGTTTTAATCGTATTACGGGCCAACGATAACGGCGATGGTAAGATTCCATACATCTTTTAGATCTGTATAATTATAAACAAAACAATATCACTTATTAAATCCTTCGTATTTAATTATTTCTCAACTTCTCATAGAAAATAAATAAATATAAAAAGCGTCCTTTAGCTTTCGGTGTCTCATCAGCTTGAGAGATTTTTCAATGTTTTCAGAATACAGAATGGTACACCACATGTCATCATACAAGTGAAGAGCTTAAAAAATAAAATCATACAAGTGAAGAGCTTAAAAAATAAAATTTATCTTCACTTATATAATGACATGTGGTGTACCATCATGTGTTCCGGGCAAATTGAAAATTTTCTCCATCAGCATATACTTTAGACTCATACCTTGTTAGTTTGAAAATTTTGATTGCCAAGGTTAATTTGTCAAACTTCTTATAATTAAACTGTCAAAAAGAAAGAAGAATTCCCTTGTATATAATTGAGTCCTCATTAATCTATTGTTAATTGCAGTTTTTCTTCGACTTTCAAAGTCCTAATTATGTCATTTTAATCCGACCAAAAGCCCCAACCTTTGATTTTTCGCTGTGTCATTTTCTGACACGTAAAATGACCAAAAGAAAAAAGAGACCAAGTTTGATTTTAATACAAGTTTGAGGTACGAACCTGGGAGAAACTTGTCTAGTGGAGTCTAACAAAATTATTAATTTTTAATACGCATAATGATAGAAACTTGTCAAGTGGAGTCTAACAAAATTATTAATTTTTAATACGCATAATGATAGAAACTTGTCTAGTGGAGTTTAACCGTCTTTCTTAATTCTGCGAACTTAAATTCAGAATAAAGAAATTGTTCACCACAGCAAATATAACGCTTCACATACATAATGTTATTTTTTTTTTTGCAGGTGGGACGTTCGCACTATACTCTTTGCTGTGTCGATATGCCAAAGTTGGTTTGACTCCGAGTCAACAAGCAGAGGATCGTGATGTTTCAAATTTTCAGCTTGAGTTGCCTACTAAAAGTGTAAAGAGAGCATCTAGGCTTAAATCTTCATTGGAGAACAGCCCATTTGCCAAAATCTTTCTACTATTCGCCACCATGCTTGGTACTTCCATGGTCATTGGTGATGGTGTCCTCACTCCTTGCATCTCAGGTTTGTCAAATCTTTAATTAAGAAGAAAAAAAAAAGTATCTATCTATATATCTCCTCATTTGACATGGTGGCGTGATGAAAGGTGAATATATTTCTGATTATATAGAATTTTTTAACTATGTCTCAGTTAAAAAATCTAATGAAGTTAAATTCTTTCTATATCAAATAGTTTCACTACTTATTATATTGAGACTTTTTTAAAAACAAACGATATAATCTACACTAAAGGAAATGGGATATTGAGACTTTTAATATAAAACTTATTAAACAAATAATTAAGTCATAAACAATATCGATTCTAAAACTTTCTCTAAAGTTTAACAAGAATCTCTCAACTTGCATGCTCATTAGTGTAACTTACTAACAGGACAAGTACATAGCCAACTCTCAGATTTAAGGGGCCTTCACAAAAGGTAGTAAATGGGCGCTTGTATAAAACTCTTGCTACACATCTAATTTATTTGTCTATAGTTGTATTAATAAAGGATCTACATAGAGTATTATTACTTGAGTTATAGCTCAAATAAAAATAAAAATAAAAGGAAAAGTCATGAAATAATAAATAAAATAAAATTTAGGACAAAACCGGCAGAACCAAACTCTAAAATAAAAGTGGTTCCTCTCATGCGGATAGAGTCCATATTATCTTATTCACAAGCATAAGTTAAAATAAAAAGCAGAACCTAGAAATTTCCCAAAAATGAAGTTGAAAAGTTGAAAGTTGAGTAATTTTGCGATATAAGACAAAATCAAAGTTGCGTCTCCTACTCTCACATGATTATGTGCTTAATTTCTTTTGACTTGAATATTAAAATTGTTTTTGTTCCAATTTGATGGCAGTTCTGTCGGCTGTTGGAGGAATCAAAGAAGCCACATCTGCAATGACACAAGGTATTGATATAGATATTATTTGTGCGTGGTATTTAAAACGGAATGAGGATTCTCTTCGGATTATCAGATTTTTTAATCGTGTTTGTTCATTGTATATTGTATGATCAGAAATTATTTAAAATTTTGTTATTTAAAATTGAACACAAACAGTACTTACTGAAAATTTGCGGCACGATATATGATGAACTGATAAAATTAAAGGATCCTTGAATCCTCACAAAGACGATCTGGAGAGGATTCTCATTCTATAAAACGGATAGTGAAAAGATAATTTGACTAATTTAATTTAAATGTTTTTGGTTAAATAGTTTTAATTTAATCTGTGTGCACAGGTCGGGTTGTTTTGATATCAGTAGTCATCTTGATTGCCCTATTCATGGTTCAAAGACTTGGAACTGATAAAGTAGGCTACACTTTTGCACCAATTATTTGCATTTGGTTTACCATGATTGGTGGAATTGGCGTGTACAACTTCATCAAGTTTGATCCGACGGTGGTCAAGGCTCTAAATCCACAATACATAGTAGATTACTTCAGGAGGAACAAAAAAGACGCTTGGATTTCTCTTGGTGGCATTGTGTTAGCCATAACAGGTTTACAATTAATTTCATGCCAAATAACATAAAATTTAATTTCTAAATAAGACCATATAAGGATTTGGAAAGAGTTTAAAAATTCGATAGTATTCATTCAAGATTTTAAATGAATTTATAAAAGTTCAACGTTATTCAATTAGCATTTTTAAAAAGGTTCTACAAGTTCATACTTCATTGATTAAATCCTGGTGTAATCAAGATTTTGAAAAAATTTATAGAAGTATCATGATTTGATTTTAAAGAATTTTTAAAAGGTGTTTTGATGGGCTTAGAGGGTTTTCATATTGTATTTTAGACTTTTAACAAATCCAGTCTCTCACCCGTTATATTTTAAGAGAATTCAAATGTAATCTACATAAGCCCATTAAAACTTCTTGAATTTATAATTCTTTTAAAATTCTATAGAATTCCTATCTACACTTTTGAACTATTTATTAGTTAAGTGTTAATTTCTTTCTAAAATGGATACATAAAACGTATATTTACCATACAAATTTCATAATCGAAACTGTTTAATGTCTCAATCTTCATTTGCAGGAACTGAAGCTTTATTTGCTGACGTGGGACACTTCACAGTACGATCCATTCAAATAAGTATGTGCACAGTTACTTACCCAGCTCTCATATTGGCATACACTGGACAAGCCTCTTTTCTTCGCAAGCACCATCTTCTTGTTGCAGAAACCTTCTTCAAGTCGATTCCAAGTAAGTGTGTATATATATATATATATATGTACATATATAATATTAATATAACCTTTTAGGAGCTAAGTATCAGATATGTATACCTCAACATTAACAACCATATATAATAACCAACTTAGGTGGTTGCATAATTTTTTTAATTGTGTACTAATTGTGCTGAATGCATGCAGAGCCTTTGTATTGGCCTATGTTTGTAGTGGCTGTTATGGCAGCGATCATAGCTAGTCAAGCTATGATTTCAGGGACTTTCTCTATAATCCAACAGTCACTATCATTAGGGTGTTTCCCTCGTGTGAAAATCGTGCACACATCAACCAAGTATGCCGGACAAGTTTATATTCCGGAAGTGAACTACCTTCTCATGTTAGCTTGTGTTGGAGTCACTTTAGGGTTTCGAAGCACTGCAAAGATCGGCAATGCATATGGTAATGTTCTCTTTACAAACTTAATTATATCATCAAAAAATGCTTATGTTGCCAAAAACTGAGTCACCGTCTCACATTAAAAAAAAAATAGTCGAATTAATGCGTGACCCACATGCAGTCTGACAGGAAAATATTTATGTGCTCATTAAACTAATAATGAATGACTTTGTCTAATTGTCATACGTATATATATGCACAGGTATAGCAGTGGTGTTTGTGATGACGCTTACATCATCCTTCCTAGTGTTAATCATGATCATGATATGGAAGACCAACATATTCCTCGTCATCTCATATGTTCTTGTTATTGGAAGTGTAGAGCTTCTGTATCTAAGTTCAGTGCTCTACAAATTTGACCAGGGCGGATATCTTCCCCTCGCGTTTGCTACATTGTTGATGTTTGTAATGTTTGTGTGGAATGATGTGCATCGAAGAAAGTACTATTACGAGCTTGAACACAAAATTTCTCCCGAACAACTCAAGGAAATTGCTGTTGATGCAAACTTTTCTCGTATGCCTGGCCTCGCCATGTTCTATTCAGAACTTGTTCAAGGCATCCCACCAATCTTCAATCATTACGCTGCGAATGTGCCTGCATTGCACTCCGTCCTTGTTTTTGTCTCAATCAAATCGTTGCCTATAAGCAAGGTTCCATTGGAAGAGCGCTTTCTTTTTCGGAGAGTAGAGCCTAAGGATCTGAATGTGTTCAGATGCGTTGCTAGGTATGGGTACACCGACGTTCGCAATGAGAACGAACCCTTCGAAGGATTGTTGGTGGAGAAGTTGAAAGAGTTCATAAAGGATAGTTTTTGGATATCTCAAACAAATAATATTCCCAGTAGTGCTAATGAGGATACCAAGTTTCAGATCGAGGAAGAATTCGAAGACAGTACTTTGGTGAGCGGTGGAGAGAATGGAAAGGAGGATTTGAAGCAGCAAGTTGATGATCAAGATAAGCAACAAGATTTGTTGGACAGAGAGATTGAGGCAATAGACAAAGCATGGAGGCGGGGAGTTGTTCATTTGGTTGGGGAAAATGAAGTGACGGCTGCCAAAGGAGCTGGTATAGCGAAAAGAATTTTGATCGATTACGCTTACAATTTCTTGAAGAGAAATTTGAGGCAGTGTGACAAAGTGTTTGACATTCCTCACAAGCGGCTGTTGAAAGTGGGCATGACTTATGAACTTTAGAGCAAAAGAAAGTGGATACAAATTTTAGTACAGCTTGAGACAAGCTATTTAAGGTGATTAATTACTAGCTAGCTAGCTACATCAAATAGATAAATAAATCAAGAATTCTGGATTTATGTTTGAGTTCTTACAAATTAAAAATGTTATCATGTGACTGAGAGCTCTTCCGGCCACGAGGTATAGTGCAATTGTAATATATAAATACGCTTATATGCAATGCTCCATTGCTAATATATCATGACACATTTGTTTCGTAAAGTAGTAATTGGTTGTTCATGTTGTGAATTTTTTCTACAAGTTTTTCTTCCTTCTTTTCATGGTCCACCCTCTTACATGTTCTTTTTCTAGTGCAATATATTACTGATTGTACTATAATCCCGGTGATTGTTCAAATAATATTATTAATTTATGTGTTATATTATTGATAGAGAACATGTATATTTATACTTTATATGATTTATATACACCTAATGGAGGATTTAAAAAGAAAATATAAAGTGGTGGCTCATGAATTGGGAAAATATGGACTTAGCAATGGAGGATTTAATACATGGAGGAGGAACCACTTTGATTATTTCCATTCCTTGAAATTGATTTGGAGAATGATAATTAATTGTAATTAGGGAGCAAGCTGGTTAAGTGCTCGTTTTCCTTCTTTCTTGGAGGTTTTTTTAATGAGGCTACTCTTGCTCCCCAAACTTTTTGTACTCTGTCTTATCAATAAAAAAACTCAGTTCTATCAACAACAAAAAAGTTAACGTTTGACTTGACCACAGAATTCCATAGTTAAGGATTGTAGCATTACCTTATTGTAAGTGCACAACTTTAGAACATAATACACATAGAGTAATTCATGGTAATAAAGTGAAAATTACCTTTCTCTAAGCTACTGTTGATTTAAACACAACAACAATTAACTGGGATTTTTATTCAACATTTTATGAGTACTTATTTCCATAGTCATTGATAAACTACGATTTAATATCTAATCACTGATTAAATAGTAAATAAAAAAGTTGCAAAAATGCCAATCGCAATACGCACATTGTGCAAAAGTTGATACAAAAGAAAATGCACAACGGTTTGCCAAAAAAAGAAAAGAAAAGAAAATGCACAACGTGCCAACTCTATACCACGTGTTGAGTTGGGGACTCTACTAAGTGTCACATGGAGAACTCGTGAATCACATGCCTCTCTGTCAGATTTATGGATTTGGGAGGAGATTCCATGAAGTTACACTTTTCTTTTCTTTCTATTTAATCTAAATTAGATATTTCAAGGAATTTTCCCTTCTTGGGTTTCCTCTTTTCAACTAACTAGTCACTTATCGTGTAAAAAGAAGTTAGGTCTTTTAATTATTTATATGAGTAGAACAAATTGACATTTATGATAATAAATAATGAATCGGCAATTTCTTTAATTTATATTGATGACTAATGGTGTGTAACCCATAGTTTATATGTCATCTCCAAAGCCACTAGAGTCCGGGGATTTTTTTTTTTTTTTTAAATACATTTCATATTACTACATTAACGATAGGGTAGTGGGCTAAACATTACAATTGGTTAGTTATACAAATTTAATTTAAATTCGTCTTTGACGAGAATCAAACCTAAAACCGTGAAAATGAATATTATCAGATTGTAATATTAAATGATAGTTGGAAGAAAAAAAAAAAGTTAAAAGTATGGAAGGCTCACGAAACCAATAAAGCGATTTCCAGGAGAAAGAAAATTTTATCTTTGTTTATGTTATATTGAAATATTTCTATATTTTTCTCGGGCTTTATGACCCTTGTCAACAAAAAAAAAAGAAGAAATTTTTTTTTCAAACATTGGACGTAGTATACTTCATTCTACTGACTCTCATCATTAAACTCTCTAGTTGCTTATGAGTAAGAAAGTTTAATTGGTACTACTTGTAAGCTTAATTAGAGCTGCACACTTGTTTTGCACGTGTATGAGGGATTGAGATCATAAGAGTTTAGGATTGACAACTTGTAGGTTATTAAGGAATGTGTTAAAATATAGCCTAAGAAGTCCCGGTGCAAATGGTATTATCCATATTGATGCGGATTCTTTGGTTATTAGTAATAAGGGTTATCAAACTTGATGACTATGATAGGGATTACATGATGGGAAGTATATTTAATTATCAAAGACCACTGTTTACATTATAAATAAAGAGTCCCTGCTCTCGCACAACACACGCAAACAGACTGATCAAGCCCCATTGATTGACACTACATACAAATCATGTTGAGAGAAGAACCCTAGTTTTATGCAGCAAAGGTTTCGCAAGGTTAGTGGTTAAAATGATGTGTTGAGCCGCTCATTTCCACTATATTTGCTCTAACACTACTCTCACTCTCGATCCGTCATCCGTTAATAAAGTAAAATTGATAGGGTTTGATTAAACAAGTAAATCACAAATTCATTAAGTTTTTTAGTAAAGCACAAATTAATTAAGTAGGTACATCATTGAACAAACAACTTTGTGTCATGCCTCATGGTATCTCAAGTTTCCATCGATTGTGTTGCCTGTCTTAGATCTTGTATCATATCGATCATCTTTTCTTTTGGAGTAATCAAGAAAACATGAAGAAAAACCCTAGAAACCCTAATAATTAATTCAGCCCCGCACTTCTGTCTTAGTTTGTCTCCATTTTCCAAGAACTCCTCACAAAAACTTCCTAACAACTTGACATATTGGAGCTTAGTCATCCTCACTTGTGGGAAGATGATCCAAGCCCCTTTGAATATGTAAAACCTTTCGGCATGATCCAGACTTAATGGGGGTTCTTAACGACAAATTAACCATGGAAGGTTGAGCCGTGGCTACTAAATTTACTGTGGTCCCCGGTGAAAAATTATGCCCTACGGTTATCATAGAAAACCCTAGCTACCCATTGACTAACATAATTAGCCTCATGATCTCCATAAGGTATGGCTGATGTGGGTGTCACTATACTTGGTAAGTTAACTGTCTAAAGTAGCATGCAGGAGTATCTATACTTGGTAAGTTAGATGACAAGAAGAGAGAGAGAGAGAGAGAGAGAGAGAGATTTAACAGTTAAGAGTCCAAGATGTCTAGTGCTCACGACATGTGAAACCAGACTGCAGTATAAGTACTAAAGAGTTGCACATGAATAGTATTTGGTTTGATTATGCTTAATTATGCATTCAATTTCTCATGTACATTTTAGTCACATCAGTATTATGTGATCAAAACATGGCTTAATTAGCATCAGACAATAGAAAAACACTTTGTACAATTGATTTCTTGTTAGCAAATTTCATTTTTACGAGGAAAAACCCTACATGGCATATATGTACACAAACATATAAAATTGTAACCCAGAGAGAATTTCTTTTTGAATAATATATTGATGAATTGAGATTATGACAAAGGTAAAACTACGATGGTTCGAGCTATAGGAGATTAAGTGAGCCAAATTGCACATCAGGACATAATTCTGGTTCGACTTGCATCTTACCGTTCGAGGGTAAAATTAACAACAAAGCATCAAAGTTCGTTTTGACGAATTCCAAAATTTGGCCGGACAAAGCACCTTCAGAGATATTCTTTCAATCATTATTTTCCTATATATATTCAAAGGAAACCAAACGGCAAGGAAATAGTTTTAATCTAAACAATAAGAGAGTACTCAAATGCAAACCAGTTCTCAAGAGAAAATGCATAGATATGATCTCCAAGTCTTTTATAAGATTCTAATATCAGTCAAATAGCAAACCTACAAACAAATTGTTTTCCCCAGAGCTAAGATAGATCCATGTATAAAACCCTAAGCATATCCAATTTCTCCTGTAATTGATCGTATCAGATTCAACTCGATCACACCAGAAATGTGGTCGGAACATGACGTAGTTAGCATCAAAATTGATACGAGATTATGCACAATTGGTGTTTGTGAGTAGATTGCATAATTAAAGGGCAAAGAACCTAATGGCAGCTTGCACTAAGAAAAATCTGATGCTTAACTAATCAGATGCATATATGGTTGGTGTTTCCTGTTTTTGTTGTGAGTTAGCACAAATGTGATGTTAGGGTTTCCATCGCCCTTAATATGACATAAATTAGGGGAAAAGTATATCCAGATCCCATCACTAACCCTCCGCTTGAATTTAGGTTGAGGACAAAATTGAAAGGGAAGATTAGCAAGATAACCTGTTTACAAGATTTCACAAGTTACGGATCGCGATTTAGAAAACCAAGATAACAAGGAACGCAGCTAAACATGTATATCTCATACAATCACCTGCAATAAACTTCATATTTGAATTAAAAGACAAAAAAGTCAATGGATTTACTCCAATCTCATAATTCTTGAGCTAATTACAGTCAACCAAAGAAGGATCCCCAGGACTTAATTATGAGAGCACACATGAAAACAAAAACCAAAACCAAAAGCCTAACTCCCCACTTAATTATATATAGTCATGTACCTTCTACACATGCAATTTAATTAAGATCTAGTAGTACTAATTATTTGAAAAGTATATTAATTACCTCGCTTAATTCATATGATCAGTACTCAAAATTGCCGGGAGAGCGAGCTATTTCCCCTTTCCATCATATTGTACTTCGATGGAGGATTAGAGGTATTTGCTGCTGCTAGTAGGAAATCTTGTCCTTGGTGGCAGTCTGTTCTTCATTACTATTAGCCTTACCTTGGTTAGCAGCCTTCTCTCCTTCCAATTCTCTGTACCTATGCAAGTACCTCTTTAGTGGCTCCGCGTAATCATCGAATCCAAGAGTTGCCAGAGCCCAGCAAATGTCATCCCCATTCACCGTCTTGCGCTTCTCTTTGTGGCACTTGTCAGATGCTTCTCCAGTCACGAAACTTATGAACTCAGAAACACATTCTTGCATGGTTTCTTTGGCTTCTTTCGAGATTTTCGCATTCGGGGGCAAATTCTGCTTCATGATTCGCCCAACATTAGCAATTGGAAGCAGCCGATCTGGCTCCTTGATGACTCCCTCTTGATGATGAAGATGGTGGTGATAATCACTAGAGACACTACCACCACCTGTGAAATTGTACTTAAACCCTTCTCTATCTGATGAATTATTGTTTCCTATATTATCAACCATCTCTATATTATGAAATTTTGATCCTCTCAAACACAGACACGTCGCGACCTAGCTCCTCTCTCACTTGCTAATTACTTAAGCTGCTTTATATAGAACCTTAGATGTCCATACATGCATACTTATGTACATATGCACCATATCATATGATATGATGACGTGGC